GCTGCATGCTAGGATTGATAATTTATTTAGCAGTGTTGATAGGAGTTACGCAACTGTGAAGGTTAGACTGTTGTCAAAATTGTCCCCGGTAGGAAACTGATTGTTTTTGATACCTGCATTAATCATAACATTGTCCTCAATTTTTCGGATTTTACACGATGTAGGCGCATTGTTTCCTTGTTTCTAGTTGTGGACTGTTAAAGTACCCCACGGCTTTATAGTATTTTAGCATCTATAATGTATCGATATAAAATGGTATCACTGAGCAGGCGTGTAAAGCCTGACATCTACCGAAATGCATATATCTGTAGGCATGTATGCATAAAAATAACCTCGGTATTAGATAATGAAATTCATTCGAGCTTTGGTAGTCATGCTGAAAAAATATCGTAAAAAACGTTAAGTTATGCTCAACGCAAAAAACACTAATCATTCAGGTGATTGACCAATTCCGACGACCAGAACTTAATGCGTTATTGAATAATTCTAAGAATGATAACTCTTTAGGCTGAGTTTGCAAATTACAATGTAACTGCGGGAAATATCACATAGGAGTAACAGGGAACACAGCCACGCAAAGGAAAGAGACCCGCTGTCAGTCTGGAGAAGATGCGTGATCGCGGACGAGCTTAAGCTACAGGTGATAGCGAAGCACAAAGAAAGAAAGTCTCATTCCTAACAAAGTCAAGGAACAGTACGAGAAGACCTCCGGGATTGTGCAGTAGGTGGTCAAGCTAGGGCATTTTCCCTGATGGACTGAGTATAGCAGCATTACTAAAGTGACACATTGGTTGCACAGGCGGATAAAACAGGCATTACTCTTTCAATCCTGCGGAAACGTCGACTGTTACAAAGGGTACCAACTCTGCGCGGATTGGATAAGCCCCGTTGCCGCTGTCTCCCAAAAACTGTTTAATCTGCAGCCTGGACCGAAAGCTTGCCTTCTGACTTCTAAACTCTCGACTGCTGCGGACAACCAACTGTATTCACGAAACTTCACCACCAGCCTACCTTGGGGATGGCCCGTGAGAAATGTACCGAAACGTTGATATTGGTCAGTCATTATAGTGTCCACAGTATCTTTGGCGTTGTCTCTAAGTAAACTGTATTTTACGATATTTGCTTCTAGCCCTTAAAGGTGAGTGTATTAATAAATTGCTAGTTCTTGATACCACAGGTAAGAATAACATTCTTGTATATTTAGCGTTGCCCTGATGATGCTACGATTTATCTAGTGAAACGCGTTAGTAACGAAGGTTTTACCATATTTCATTTGGTTCCCTGAACCACGAATCTTTCAACTCTCTGTCTAGAACAGCATTTTCCTATCAGTTCTCCTGATTTTGTACGGTGCAGGTGCACCGTCATTTTTGGAGTTCAAAGCGACCTGTTAGGCACTGTACTGCCGTGCCATTCGCATTTTATGTACTGTTTTGTCTATGGCTCCTTGTTGTGCATCATATAAGATTCTCACTGTGGGGAATTAGTTTCCAGTGACAGAATGACTTGCATTTGATACACGTAGATTTTAGATTAAAAGGGTTCTGCTTTATTAAGTGATGATTATTTGTGCATGGACAACATTAAAGAATGCACCCATCACAGTGGGCTTGAATGTAATGTGAAGTTTGTTTTGTGGTGGTGTGTTCACGTTTCATTCATTAGCCTAATTTTCTGTTTTCGCTTCTTGCCGACTTTAATGAATGGAAATCATGAGAATTTTTCGAAACAGCGCCCTTCCTTGCAAAGTTGTTTTTTCTGTAAGATTATCGCGCATCAGTAAAGTGACTGGCATTTTTTGTTCCTGCTTACTCTGTTCATGGATATGATAAATTCAGTTTGAACTGGTGACATAGGTATCTGGCACGATATGGATTGTACTGCTTGTCGATCAGCTGCATTGTTTTTCAGGTTTTCATGTAGTTTACTCGCGGTTATCTTTAAACGGAATTTTTGAA